AGCACAGAGAGGCATCTTCTGAAGTCCCCTGCCCCAACCCAAGGAGGGTCCTTTCTGCCTGAGGCAGGCTGACCACTGTGTGGTAGACAGTTGTCTCTTTCACTGCAGAGAGCCATTTGCAAACAGAAAAGCTACAATGAGCCCATAGTAGGTCCTATCACAGACACCAAACCATGGGCTTCCAGATTTAAATCAAAACACCACCATCACCACCAACAAAATCCTGTAGGTTTTAGCAGATTTTTGCTATGAATTGCCTTCTAAAAAGGGAAGATTTGCACTGCTTGCTTGAAAGCTTATGATTTGATAAAACAGACAAAATGTCTATTTTCACAGTTCAGAGATTTCAACAATCTCTCTGTTGACTTAGTTCATTTTATTTCTGTTCTTCAGCAGAGAAAATCTGACCCTATAGGTCCTGCTTAATCTCAGTGCAGCAGCGTTTTATAACTATCATCATTGTAACTTCTAAAAATATTACATTGGTGAGTTGCTGTTCAGAGAATTCACAAAAGGGAATCAGAGTTTAGCAGGGCCTAGGATAGTAAGAGCAGCACCCCCAGGAGGATTGGGGAATGAACCAGTGTGTAAGGACTCCCTTATCTTTCTCTTAGAAGTGTGTGAGGATAAAGTCTAAAATACAAGGCAGGTCTGGTGACCACAACACTTTCCTCTTCGGGAACCACTTTTATCACATTTTTATCCATTTCCATACTTGGCTCTTTTTAAGATCAGCAAAAGACGTCACTAATAGGAATGCTAGAATTGTGATTGTATCAGGTGATTAATTAAGCTAAGCCACAAAACTTTATGGAGATATTCTGTGGAGAGGAAAGGGACTATCACTCTTTCCATTTCCAGATCAGATGTCTTGGGCAAGGGTGGCCATGCCTTTCAAATGGTGGCCCCTGACCTACAAGCCTACAACTTTTGGTCATATTATCTAATATCTACTGAATGGTGAAGACCAGTGTGACAGTTGATTCCATCAACTCAAGTAAGTAACACCGAACTAGATTGGCTTGGCCTAGTTCTGGGTGTGGAAGGCCCACCCTAGGGAGAATTGTTGCCAGGATTCTGTAGAAGGGAAAGGAAGAAGGAAGAATTGCTTCTGTCTTCTTCAGAGGAGCTCCAGTCTTCACTTTCACCTTGGGGGTCATCACCTGGCTTTTGGTGCAGACTTTCCAGCCTTCCAATACAGACCCTGCAGCCTCCTGATACAGACTTGTAGGAGACATTACATGGAGCTGCAGTGTGCAGACAGACTTTTTGCACTCTTCTACAGCTCAGTCTGTGGGAAGCCATCCTAAGGCAATCTGTAAATACTTATATATTGTGTATCTTGTATTATGTTTCTCTAGTAAACACTGACTGATACAACTAGAAAATATGTTAATGATATTTTTATTATTATCTTTATATGATCACTTCTTGGCCTTTGGCTAAGATCAAGTATATTATTATCTTTATTGTACAGATAATTTCTCAGTGCAATTTGCCTATGGATAATTCTTTTATTCTCTACATAACATAGAAGTTGGGTCTGTTTTTTCCCTTTCAAACTTTCTCAAAGCCATAGCATTGACTTTTTATTTCCACTAAAAATACTCTATGACCTGGCAATTCCATGCATAGAAATGAACTCAAGAGTTTCAAGAGCAGCTATCTACACAAAGACTTGTATGCAAGTGTACACAGCACCATAATTTGTACATTCAAACATGAGAAACAACACAAATATTCATCAAAGAGTGTCTGGATAAACAAAATGTGGCGTTTTAGTAGCAGGGAATACCAATAAGAAGTCAAAAGGAACTAGATAGTGATAGATGTAGCAATACAATGACCCTAAAAGACTGCATAGATTAAGGCAGGGGTGACAAACTGGCACACATGCCACAGTGGACATGCAGAGCATTACACTGAAACCTGGGTAAAGAGGTTTAGAGTTTATCTCCAGAACTGTGTGAAAAGCACAGGTCCACAACACACTTCAGGGTCTGAGCAACAGATCAGGGGCTTAGTCACAAGAGGGAATTCTAGGTTTAGGACAACCCTGTACCAAAATTCCACCAGATGTTACTGATGCAAGTATACTTATGAAGAGTCATGAGTACTAATTCTAAACTTAGGCAATGTAGCTTCTTATTGATACAGAACCCAAGAATCTCTGTGCTCAATGCTCCCAATCTGTAACTTGCATAGGTGGTCTTAGGAGGAAGGCAAAAGGAATGCTCTTTTCCTTGGCACCTAGATTGTCAGCAAGTTTTGTGAACACTTTGAATCAATGCTTGAGGGGAATTCTCAGCCACAAAGCACTGCTTCTAATCTTTGTGTGCAGCCAGATTTCATGATCAGGAATGGTAGTGGGCAGGCAGCCATGCATCCTTTCTGTCTTGCTCATTCTGGTTTGGCTGAGAGGCTTAGGCTTCGGTCTTTGAGTCTCTAGCCCTGTAGAAGCTCATCTGGGCCTCCTGACCTTAAGGGGAAGCAAAACTAACTCAGCTGGCTCAAAATGAGATCCTGTGACCTAATTTCTACAGCAGTATGACCTGACATCATTTCAGTTGCCTAATGTTCAGAGGTCAGTTTTGTTAACATGAACAAGATTCTAAAGTGTTACAATTTACTGTGAAATGGCAAATTAAAAACTGTTGATGTTCTTTTACATTGGAACTTTTTTCTAAGGAAAAAGGCAAGAGACAGAGAGGCATTTAGAAATTGGCAGCTTTTGTGCATGTGTGTAGGTGGTGAGGTATTCTTTTATTTAGCATCTCCATCCTCAAAAGCTAAAGAGAAAACAGAAGAAAGAAGGCAGAAACAGAAGGTCTCATGATGAGCTTTGGGGGTGCAGTGGGAGTTAAAGTGGCTTTTTAGTTCATAGCTTATCTCCCATCAAATGTTGGCAGCAATGGAGGGGGCAGTGAAGAATTCAGGGGCTGCTGAAGCCACACTGGGGCACACAAGGGCGGCCAAGGGGGCTGATGTGTCTATGTAGAGAGTGCCATGCTCTGTATACACATCCCATGTCAGCTCAACACTAGGAGCAACTTCTGTTTTCAGAAGCTGCACTGGCAAATGCAGAACCTCCTTGACCCATGAAAAATGAGAACCAAGACCTGTCATGTAAAGGTACAAGATCCCAGTAATGAATGTAACTGTATTGTATACCTAGAATGTACCAATAAACTCAATAAAAAGAAAAAAAAATCCTTGACCCATGGACCAAAGTTATACACTAATGGTTTGTGTTCCCCTAAAATACATATTTATCCCTAATCCCCAATGTGTACATGGAGGGGGGCCTAAGGGAGATAATTAGGGTTAAGTGAAGTCACAAGGGAGGCCTCCCACGGCAGAGTTAGCACCTTTTTAAGGGAGACCAGAGGACATACTGTCATGCAAAGACACAGCAGCAAGGCAGCTCTCTGCAAGCCAGGAAGAAAGTTCAATAAGAATTGAACCTGTCGACGCTTTGATCTTGGGCTTCCCAGTCAAAAATTGTCAAAAATAAGTTTCTTTTGCTAAGACTCAGTCTCTGGTATTTTATCATGACAGCTCAAGACTACCAGACTAAGACAGAAATCAGAAATGAGAAATGGGATATTGTTGAAATAAATGTCTAAAATCATGGACCCAGCTTTGAAATAAGACAACACATAGAGGCTGAAATTTTAAGGTACACACTAGAAATATGGCATGAAAGATAATTCTGGTGATGGCTCAAGAAAAAAAAAAAAAGGAGCACATAAGAGCCAGTATTCTTGGAGAATCCATCATCACAAACAGAAGGTGATGGAGAGGTGGATGGTAAAGGCCATTCTGCAGAGGCCCCAGGAACATGTCTTTGGAAATAGGAAATAAAATCATTACTCTAAAAGGGTAAGAAATTGGACAGATTGCATTTGTGTCCTAGCATTTTGTGGAAAGGAAAACTTGTAAGTGAAGAGATGGGATCTTTAGCTGGGATTTCTAGGCAAAGTGTTGAAAATGTGTCCATTTCCTTCTGACTGCTGACACAGATGGTTAAGGTTATGAGGATTCAATTTAAGATTTTAAAATTTTATGATTTGTGTGAAAGCAATATGCATACAGCAGAAACTGTTTTGAATTTTGATCTTTTTCCAACTTAGCAATATGAGATCTGGGCAGAAACAGTGAACTGTGGCTCCCAGCCACATTCACGGGGGAAACAACCAAGACTCTACAGTGTGCTGTGTTGCAAAGTGGTTTGGAATGAAATTTTGACATAGGATCTTTCTTTTCAACTTACAATGGCTTTACCAGGAAGTAACCACATGGCAAAGTTGAGAAGCATCAGTACAGCAAAATGGTAGAAGAGAGACATGACTTCAAAGCTCAATTATTATGCAAAACAGAACCAGAGCCTAAAGATCTGGGACGTGCTCAGCCTGTCTATATTACAAAAAAGCAAGAAAGAGAACTGAGAGAGGACACTGAGGATGTGGCTGACCAACCATGTGCTATGGAGACCAACATGTGAAAGACGTAGTCCTCATCCACCACCAGGACAGAAACCAGGAGCAGAGAGGGGTCACACCAGCAGCAACACTGCCATCCAGCATTGAAGGAGACAGAAAATGAGGTGGAAGGAAGGCTGCAGACATTTCCCATTCTTCTGGGAAAGAAAAGTAAGATTAGAAGAATCTGCAGATCATCAGAGCTACTACAAGCACTGCAGGCCCAGAGTGCACCAGCCAGTGGTGAGGTCACTTCCGGCTGTTCTAAAGGGGAGACCAATGCTAGGGGTAGAGGCGGCACCATTCTGGGACACTGATGTCCAAGGCTGGGTGTGGCACCAGGAGCCACAGTGGGTGGAAGCACCCTTGTGCTGGACACACTGAGATGACCATAAGGTAGCAGCCTCTACATGTTTGATTAAGTATTTTGGGAAAATGATTCAAGGGAAAGGCAAAAACCAAAACCAACCAAAAACCAACCCACATACCAAGCTTTTGTTTGAGAGAAAATGCTATTTTAATTAGGACTAACTTTAAGGCCTTAAATTCACATACATTTCTCACACTATGATTTTTCAAACAGGAAAGAGGTAATCAATCAGCTCATCAGGTCTGAAATGGTTCTAACAAGACTTCACCAAAACTTTATAGAAAAATATGTCACACTGTTGGCACAACAGCTGAGGACAAAGGGCCTGAAGAGCATGTCTTGCTTCCTGTCCATAGTCCTGTCCATAGTCCTGTCCCTACTGCCAAGCCTAGGGGCTCACACACAGCCCAGAGCACCTTTCCCTGGAGCTGCAGCACACATCTGGTTTGGCACATATCTTACATTTTATTTCACTTTCACATTTACAAATTCAGGAAGCCGTCTTGAGAAGGGGGAGGCAGCCTCTAAGAAAGGCCCACCTCTGTCCTCCCAGGCCTGGGCTCATGGGCACAGTACAGATGTGAGTGCCACCAACTCTTGGGAATATGTCCTATCACCTCTGCCAGTCAGGTGTGAAATAGCCAGGGTGGCTCGCTCCTCAGCAGGGCTGCCTCTGTGCCTGGAAGGCACCTCACTGGAGGGTTTATTGCTGGTGAACTTGGTTACCCAACTCCTGGCCACTTCATCCAGGATGGTGGCATGATCAGAAAAGGGCCTAGGAGAAGTCACCTTATGGAGATGAGAAGACACTGGGACAGATGAGCCCAAATGAATCCTGCGATGCTGCCCCCAACATTTGGTTTCCTCCTGTTGCTGTCAGAACAGCCGATGTTCAGTTCTTTCTCCCCTTTGAGGAGAATAATGGCAGGGGAAATCTGGGGAGCCCGGCTGCCCACCTCGATGGTCACTCAAGACAAGAGGTGTATGGGCAGGACACAGGGGCCCATCTACAGCAGCGTCCTTTGCCATGTTCCTACTTGTACCGCAAGTGTCCCCTGCTCAGATGGAAAGAGTCTATTCTCTCTTCACAATCCAAACTATGCTAGATCAAAGGGGTGCTTGGCACACAGAGCTTCTGAAATGTAGACAAGCGTCACACAGTGGGTGTGGTTCAGAACAAATGGACCTTGGGGACTGCTGTGTGGTCATCACTGACCGTCATGGGAACTGATGGCCACAGGAAGGACACTTTGCCTTCATGACTACAGCAGCGCCAAAAGGGAACCAGAGGTGTCATTCCATGACCCAGATTTGATCCTGCATGAGTCTTGGGAGTGTTTGCTGTGTCTCAGTTTCTCCAACTCTTTGTTTGGTGCTCTTTGTTCCTGCCATTCACCAGTGACTGATGTGACCACTGGGTCTAGCCAGGACAGCCACAGGTGTGACTCCCACTTAGACAACTCCTAATGCTTTGTAAGGGCCACTGGTGGCCTGATGATACAGCATCTTACACCTAAGTCAGGTAGAGCTGCCAGGGTACAGCTTCACTTGCTCCTAGGACCAGACACCCAGAGGGTTTCTTAAGCAAGGAAGTGACCAAGAAGTTATTCCTGTGCTCAGAACTCTACTGGTTATCCCCTGCACTAATGAAGACTCTGCAATCACAGATCCTGCACATTAGTTTAGCAAGAAATTCGGTTTTTGATACCCAAAGAGCTTGAAGTCCCCCTCAAAGCGTGCATACAGGCGTCGGATGTCCCGTTTGCTGATGCCCAGGAAGTAGTTCTGGACCTTGGTTCTGTTATACACGGTGATGCCCAGAGGGATGGTTGGGTATGACACCAGGTGGTCAATGCCAGCTTCTCGCAGGATGTATGGGGCATCCTCTTCCAGTGTCTCGTGGTGTCCAATCACGCTATACTTGATCTCACAGGGTGCACACAGTTCCACATATGTCACCCAGTGGATGATATGGTCCCCAAACTGAAGGTCAAGCCACCTGTGGTTTGGGTCACCCAGGTAGCGCACAAAATCTTCAAACTGGATTCCTCGGGTCTCTGTCCGGTTCCTCCTGTACTTCCGGATGATGCCCGGGGCAATCTCATGCCTGTACCAAGGTTCAAACCGGGGATTGTGCACAAACTTGTCCTTAAAGGCAGAAATGAGTCGTTCGAAGGGATCTCTTACGATGAAAAACTTGAAGTATGTTTTCAGTCTAGGGAAAACAATGAAAAAAACAGGTGGTTAACTTGATGCTCTTAGAGGCCACAAGAGGCGTTACAGCTTGTATGTAGATGACCCCACCAAAGTCTCATGCACTCATCGGTGAGAATTTGGGGAGTGAATGGATCATGGGTGTGTGATGATGGATCCTGGGTCTGCAATACTGGATCAATCCACTGATGAGTTTAGTTTTGGGTGTGGATGATGAATTCACTGAAGAGGGAACACCCATCCTGGGTGTGGCTGGCACCAAGCAATAGGCTTGCTGCTTCAACGGAATAAAAAGGTTTTCCCTGCTACTAAAAAGGCCCTGCTACTTCCTGCCTGCATGTCATACTGTTTCCCCTCTACCAGGCCCCTCTGTCAAGCCACCTGCCTTGGAGCCAGCTGACTATGGGCTGAAACCTCTATAAACTGAGAGTAAGAATAAACCCTTCTTCCTTTAACTTGTGGGTGTCAAGTATTTGTCCCAACAATGAAAAAATAACTGAGACAGAAGGAAAATGAAGCATGGGAGGGACCCATGGAAGCCTCACTGGGCCAAGTCCTGCTGGGTCCATGCTTCTCTTCCTCAGATTCTGGCATAGATGTGAGAAAACAGAAGCTCAGAAAACTCAACTGTCCCAGGCCATCATATTCTCCCTAGGGACTCCCTGGCAGGATTCTATGGAATCGATGTTTTGTTGGTGACTGGAATAATTCAAGCTTTCAAGAACTTTTATAAGTTTGGAACTCTGAGTAAGACAGGATTGACAGAGGCCACAGAAAGTTACCCATAGAACTTTCTTTTTCCTCTTCTTTTTGCAGTGCTAGGGTTCCAGGACCTTTGTACTGAGCTAAATCCTTAGGACTTTTTATTTCTGATTTTGAGACAGGGCAATCTTGCCTCAGCCTCCAAGTTCTGGGATTATAGTCCCGTGCCACCATACCACGACTCATTCCTATTAGCAGGATTACATAAATATTAATGGAAGACATGAGGGTAAGGCTGAAAAAGATGTCCCGAGACTCTCACAAGGGCTCAGGTCTACACCCACAGGATGATGGGCATAGACTTGGTGGCTGCTCAAAAACCAAACCAACAGCCCCATTTGTAGTCCTCAGAGTAAAGTGAGCGCCAGTCCACAGCAAATACAAGCTGAGTCTGTTTTATCACATGTTCTCCATGGGCTCCAGACACCCCCTTGTCCGCACTGCAGATCCTGCTCTTACCGATTCTGGATCTCGGCCTCGCTGAAAGAGGAGAGGCGTGGGAGGCCATTCTTCTCGTGGTCATGCACCACGTTCTCTGGGATCTCTTCGATGGACGGAAAGGCCCCTGGAGAAGAAACAGGGGAAGGTGCCCTGGTGCCTTAGTGTGGACTCTAAAGAAAGCTGCTGTCTATCTCATCTTGGTACTTATGTTCCCTGGGACACCAGTGACAAGCCTATCCCTACATCCACACTTGTGCCTGAGTTCTAGCTGCTCCCGCTAGCAGCACAGAGAGGGGAAGACAAGAACTAGTCATCCCTGGAGCCAAGTAGAGGAAGAGAGGATATTGGGAAGGAGGAAGGGAAGGGAGCAGGGTAGACATACTGACAGTGCCTACCCCCTGGCAAGGCACCTGGGCTAAAGCTGCCATGAAAGAAAGCTAGCACTCTGGGAGGCTGAGACAGGAGGATTCCATGTGTGAGCCTAGCATGGACAACTTAGCAAGACCCTGTCTCCAACTGAAAAACAAAAAGAAGGGCTGGGGAGATCATTCAGTTTGAAGACCCTGAGTTTAATACTCATTACCACAAAATAAATAAAATAGGAAGAAAGCTTAAAGGCCTGGGAACAGAAATTCCTGAAACCAGTAACACCTAATCTCCTGACACCAGGGAGATGCTAGAGGGGCAGGCCTGCCAAATGCAGCACCCGGGTACCTGACTCAATGGCACCAGGTCTCACAGCACCCCAGCCTCAGGCTAGTTGAGGTTCTCAGGAATCCTCTGGGCAGCCTCGCCTGGTAAATGGAAAGGGTGTTTGATGCTGGGAAAATCCAGCTATAGCTACAGCAGTGAGGTCTCCAGGAAACAGTGAGGACAGGCATGCCACATGAGGGGGGTGGGCAGCGTCAGCAGCCACAGACAGGGCTGGGGCCCCGTCCCAGGGATGGGGGCTGGGCAAACCTTTCTCCTTCTGGTGTAGACAAGTAAGAGCAAACAGTCACAATGCCAGGAAGGGTTTGGCTATGCCCCTTAACGCTTATTCTGTGCCAATCCTGCTGTCCTGGCACAAAAGAATCCCTCTTGGAGCACCTGAGCAGTGGCTGCAGCTTCACCTGTTTTATGCATTCATTCTTTCCCAAACAGTTAAGCCCAAGGCCGGAACTCGGTGCTGGTGCCCAGATGGCTTTCAAACAGCCAAAGGGATGGTGGAGGAGCCAGCTTTCTGGGTCTGCAGATGCATCAAGGCACAAGACCAGCAGCCACAGGGGCACTGTGCCTTAGCCCATGATGGGGCAAACCTGTTCCTTTGTTTTGTTTGTTTTCAGTCATTAAGAAAGGCGAGGGGGAAGAGATTAGAGAAGCCCTTGCTGTTTTAGAAATGAGCTGAAGACTTCTGAGAAGAGATTCTCCAGGAAATGGTGATTTGGATAAAAAAGGCTCTCAAAACCAGTTTGTTCTATTATCACCAAGCATCTGACTGAAGCATGTGCTAAAGTCAAAGAAGGAAGTTTCTTTTTTTTTTTTTTTAATTAAATAAAAATTTGTTTTCAGTTCTGAGACAGAATCATACTGTGTATTTCAGGCTGGCCCTGAACTCATGATGTAGCCCAGGTTGCTCCCCAACTCACATGGATCCTCCTACCTTGGCCTCCTGAGTGCAGGGATTACAGGTGTGCACCACCACACAGGGCTCAATTTAATTTTTAACTGAAATGGGGAACTACAAAACCCATACCTATCCACGGGCTAACAGGTGGTGTCTCCATGCACCGGAGATACTGCGGCCTGCTCCTGCTTCATCCTGTCCCTGTAAGTGGCTGTTCACTTCCTCTGATTCAGGGTGCTTCCCACTGGCAGGGTCAACTTGCGGGCCTTTCGGTATTCTCCTTGCTTTCAACTGATTGGTAACCTTGTTCTTTGATTCAGAAACCCAACATGCTGATGTTATCTTCTTCCCCAGTACCACACATGGCAGCCAACACCGACCAGCAATCGTGAGACCTGCTTTGGGAGCTGGGGAACAGGACCCGTGGGCCACCAACCTACAGCGCCAGGCTCTGACTCTGGACAAGGCACCCTACTGCTGTGGGTCATGGGTTGGAATGAAGTTCTTTTGAAGCACACTTTACCAGACAGAACCCATCATTATCCTGGATTAGTGCAGACTAATTGGAGTTTAAACAAACAAACCTGGTGTCTGGGAAGAGCTGTGAGTAATCAGAACTACAGTGTTTGGCGTCGCTTTTCTATGATCTCACTGGTTTCTGGTAAACATCACATTTCCTAAATTGAGCCAACTTAAACCTCTGAGCACAGTGGAAAAGAAGGTGCAATTTCTTTCTACCCAGCAGGCACAGAACTCTGTTTGTAGGTAAAGGACCCCAGGCCCACCTAGCAGGGTACAGGGTCACCTGGGGTGGGGTGGGGCTCTTCACAACAGAGGGACCAGCACAAAGGATAAACAGGATCAGAACAAGGGTCAGCGGGGTGGGCAGGCTGGTCAAGGTAGAGATCCCACTGTGAAAAGTGAAGCAACCCTGACCTTGGCCAAGAGCCTTTGAAAATGGTCAGTGTATAAATTTAACCTCACTGAGGGCTGGAGGTGTAGCTCAGATTCAGAGGCAGGGAGCCTGCCCAGAATGTACAAGGATCTGGGGTGATCCCTGCATAGAAGACCAGAGAGAAAGAAGAGGAGGAACAGGAGGAAGATGAAGAAGAGGAAGAAGAGTAAAAAATTAATTAACACCACCAACTTTAAAGTGCAGCACTGACAGGGAAAACCAGAGAACTTTCTGGAAGGTTGCTGGACCTTTCAGGAGGACCCACCCCTCCTCTGAGTACTCTCCACATCCCTCGCCCTCAGGCAGACCCTCAAGGTCCTTGACTGATGTCCCCACCAGCACAATGTGGCACACGCACCATTGAGGACAATCAACACCTTCTTCCACTGTGTGTTGCCCACTTTGGGAGTCTGGCAGAAAAGAATCTTGTGCTTGTCGCAGACAAATATTCGGTCCAGGACAAACTTGGAGACGGCTGTGTGTGAGAGGTTCCTCAGGGCCTCATCCCTGCAGACATTCCGGATGAGCTCTAGGCGCTCCAGGTAGACCAGGGGCTGGACAGGCTGGCTGTCAGCAAGCATCTTCCCTGTCGGCTGCAGGTGACAAGGGGCAGAAGAGGCACCAGGATTGCAGGGAGCAAACAGGTACCACCCCCACTGGCCCATCCTTTTCCCTCCCTCCTATTTCAACAGAGCAACAATCACTACTTCCTGCACCTTCCGGAAGCCTCTCTCCTCCAGGTCCTTCTACTTTGGTGCTGAGTTACATACAGAAATCAGCACCCTGGCCTAGACAGTGATGTGCCCCTGGCTCTGGTGACTTCCTTCTAGAGAGAAGCTGATTTAAAAACTAGAGAAGATTGGGGAAGCTCAAGTTCCAAAGGACAGTACGTACCCTGGGACTGTGTGGCACCTGGAAGAATGTCTCCAACACTGGGGGACTTTAGCTGAAGCTCAATCCCAGCTCCTCCTGCTCTGGGGGTGGGACACTAGCCACACAGCTGCTTGCTGAGTCTTGCTGTTAGGGTCTTAGGGAAACACCCAGGACAGCCCAGCTGATGAGCAGTAGGGTGTGGGGCTGGAGAAAAATGCAGAGGGGACATACCAGTGCACACTGCTGTTTGGCAAGTTAAAATTCCCATTACAGCGGTGTGTCAGCCCCCAGGCACCAGCCAGTCCTCCTTGGAAGTGTCTTGAGGCAGCAAGGCTGTTCCCTGGACCCCACTCCTCTCTGCCTCTGGCCCAAAGGTTTCTGAAACACTTCTACCTTGACATCTTCCCTTAAAACTACCCTGAAGCCCAAACTGAATCCAGATCAGGAGCAGGATGCCACGGAATAATGCCTCCAAACAAGCTCTCTAGCAATCACAGGAAAGCCTCCAGCACTTGCAAATTTGGCTTTTCTTTGCACTCAAGTACTAAATACAAAGAAGAAACTTCTCATTCAATTGTGTTTACCAAGTAGCATCATTTTCTGTCTTCCCTCCTCACCACCTCAGCAAATACTGAAAACCAATTTTAATTACTGGTATGATTTTTTACTCTTTTCCCATTCAAGCATTCAGGTATAGGATACACAAAATAAATCTGAAGAGAAGCTACAGAACATGGTTTCCTTAATCAGTCACCTTTCTGATGGGAAACATGCTGGCCTGCACTACTAATAATTCTTGGGCCTAGTGGACTTTACATGGGACTCATTTCCTCCACTCTGAAGCTGGGCTGCCAGAGAATCAAAAGGACCTCGTAGGAAGAGAACACAGGGCCCAGAAACAAGTCCAGTGCCTCCTGCTTAAGGCATGGAGGGTCAGTGAGCAAAAACCACATGCCTTGTGGTTTCCAACCACATATTGAGAATAAAAATACCTCGTTCTTAGAGGCTTCCACCAAGAGACCATTAAACTAAAAACCCAGCACAGTGCTCTGCAAACCATGAAGTACATTCTGCTGCAGTTTCTCCACCCATGACTGCTCCTGCAGGCCACTGAATGAAAAGCATTTTTCTGCAGTGCCCTCATGGGGACCTTGTCACAAAAATGCTCACCCTACTTCTGTGGTACTCTTTATCTCTTCAACCAGACATCTGCTTCCTCAGCTCATTCTGTTGAAGCCTCCCTCCTATTCTCTACTGGTGCTGTGGTTTCTTGTCTCTGGAGACTGTCTGAGTTCTTTTCTTGCCTAGGCTGTCACCACCAAAAAGCAACATTCCTGGTATTCCTGGGTGTCTCAAAAAGAGTTCTGCAGGGCCAGAGATTTAGCTCAGTAGTTCTGCGGCCTGCCTCACAAGCGCAAGGTCCCAAGATGGATCCCCAGTACCTCCCCCCAAAATAGAGAGAGAAAGAGAGAGGGAGAGAGAAAGAGAAGGGGGGAGGGGGGGAGGGAGAGAGAGGGAGAGAGAGAGATCTGCAGACTGGATCTCTGTTACATCAACATCTGAAAAAGCACACCCTAGCCTTACTCTGTTCTGACCGGGGGTGCTTTCCACTCTGGGCTCAGATTTGCCATCTGACACCGTGAACCAGGACAGCTGGGTTTAACTCCAGGCTGACGAACATTTTAGGGCTTGCCTGACCCAGGTCATTTCTTCTGGCACAGCCATAACCTCTACCTTCCAGTGTCGGGATGGGGTTAGCAGGTGAAAGCGAACTGCATGGGCACAGCCCTCATCCTGGACAGGGAAGCAGGAGGAACTCGTGTGTAAAAGGGGCCTACGGGAGGACCTGGGGCCAATGTCACGGCCAATGAGAGCAGGGAAAAGCGGCTACATTGGGTTCTGCCTGTGACCCCACACGACTCTGGGCACTGGCCTCTTCCCCATAATGAACCCCTGCGTCCACGAAGTTCAGAGGCTAGACCATCTCTCTGCTGTCAGAGGCCCCTCCTATCTTCAAAATCCCATGGTTCTGGGTGAGAGAGCTTTTCACACTCCCAGTTTTCTCCTGATCTATTCAACACGCTCCCTCTCTCTCTGGTGAGGCTCATGCTTAGCTGGCCAGGAATTTAGCAAAACCTTGAGCAAGGAATATAAAATAAATGTGACCTTGTGCCTCTCCAAAAGAAAACTAAAAGGAGAACATAAATATAGAGAACTAGCAAAAGCAGCCACAGGCCGATTATCCCTTATCTAAAATGCTTGCAGTGTTTCAAATTCTACAGTTGTTTTTGGATTTTGAAATATCTTTGTATACATAATGAGCTCTTTACACAAGCACCCATTTCATTTAGTTTCTTATGCCTCTTAGACATAGGCTGTATATGATATTTTATATAATTTTACACATAAGAAGCTTTGAGTTGTGGAATCACCCACCAGTGGGAACGTCTGAGGAACTTTGGGAGTTAGGAGCACTGTGGATTCTGGATGCTCAGCCTGTGCCATGGGGCAGGTGACAGGGACAGAAACTACTGTAGGTCCAGGTGGGAGTAGGGACCCTGTGCAGGGCTCCCTGAGGACAACTGCGTCCATGTCAGAGGGGACTGTGCTTGTGCCCACCTTCAGTTCCCTAGGACAGTGCTTTTCGTCATCTGCCAGCCTCCCCGCTTCCGGCACGGTTGTCAGGAATAGCAGCTCCTGTTTGGCACTGTACCCTGGAAAACAGAGAGGTTAAGATGTTTTTTCGACGAGGCACAGGCACAGATGGACGGACAGAGAGCAATGCCTGAGTGGCATGCGTAAGCCAACCAGAGGACAGTCTGCCCAGAAAACTGAGCTGGAGCGATTGGACATCTGTAGCCCAAAGGGCGAGGCACTATCTACACCTCACATCTTATTCAAAGATGATAGGTTTAGCTATAAAATGTTCAGCCCTTGAAGTTTCACAAAACAGCATAGGAGAAAATCTTTGGAAAAACTGAACTTCATTAAAATTAAAAATTTGTGCATTGTGAAATTCTATCTGAGGAGGATGAAAAGACAGGTGAGTGACAGGAAGAAAATATTTATGAACTATGTATCTGACAAAGAACTTTAATCTGGAGTATAAAAAGGAACTGTCAAAACTCAAAGGTTAAAAAACTAAGCCAATTAAAAACTGGGCAAGGCAGCACAGATATTTCCTGGGAGGGGATGCAGGAAGAACAAATAAACCCAGGAAAAGATGCCCAAGGTCATTAGTTATGAGGCAAATGCAAATTAAAACCACAAAGTGACCTCACCACACACCTAGCAGAATGCCTTTGGTATAAAATAGTGACAATGCCAAATGGTGATAAGGATGAGGAAAGCTGACCTCTTATATAATGCCTGAGGGAATGGAAAAGGGCACAGCTACTCTGGAAATACAACTTGGGGGAGAAAACTAGCATGCTATGATCATATGAGCCAGCACTTGAACTCACAGGTATTTAATCCAGATAAATAAAAATTTATATTCACACAAAGACCTGAATATAAGTGGCTGTAGCAGCTCCATCTGTTAATATCCCCGAACTGGAAACAGCCTTCATGGAATACAACGCAGCTATAAAACTGAAAGACCTACTGATATAGACAAGTTGGGTGAGTCTCTGGAGAATTATGTCAAGTGCAGAAAGCTAATCCCAAAATGTTTTATTCTGAAAATGATAAGATTATGCAAAGAATGGATTAGTGGTTGTAAGGGGTCAAGGAGGAGGACAGGCACGGCTGGGAAGGGCAGCAGGATGGATAGCCACATTGAGGGAAACATTCCGTATTTTGACTGTATCACACCAATGCCCTGCTTCTGGTATTGCGCTGTGATCCTGCAAGATGCTACCACTGGGGGAAGCTGGGTAAAGGGAACACAGGACCTCTCTGTGTTATTTCTTATAATGGGCCACACTCCACAATGATCTCCTAATAAAAAGTTTAATTTATAGAAAGCCAATCAGCAGTCTAGTCAGTGCTTTCACATTAAAGAAGTCATGGGATTCAAAATCAGACCAGAGGAATCCTAAATGCTTGCCATACCAATAATATATGACAATACTAATTTTGCAGGGGTAGAATTTGAAGGTCACCTTCAGCTCTCTGTCAACAAAGAAACATTTCCTTCCAAAATTTTGCAAAGTCTCATAATTAGAAAAGGAGGTATCCAATAAAAGTATAAAACTGATCATAAAAAAAGCATGTTTCATCTTCAGAAATCAAAACCTCCTCTCCTCTTGGGTCACTGACACCCACACTCTGCCTGTGTGCAGTTGCACGCCTGCTGGAGTTTGGCTGTTAGTCTCTGCCCCCACCTGGCACACAGCATCTTTCGCCCACCGCTTTCTTTTTCTGTGCAAGAATGAAACTACCTACCAGTGCCCTGAGGACCAATCATCCCCCAAAGTTAACATTTTTATGATGTTAAGCTTCCTGGTATTTGTTTCCCAACTTGTCTAACTCAACTAGAGTCAGACAGAACCTACAGCACTGGTTATGTCTGGCTTTCTTTTGCTACTGCTTCTCTGATGGTGGCAAATGCTACCATCAGCACTGCTGTAACAGATGTCCTCTGTCTACTCTGCCCCTTGAGAGTGAGTCTCCAGCTTCAAGGTGCAGGATTTCGCCCTTCAAGGGGGTAGACGATGTCTCTACAATGTCCTCCTTTTGTTATGAAAGTACCACTCTGTTCTTCTAAAAGCGGTCACAAACCTTGTCTCACTGGCAACACTGAGTCTGGTCACCCAGTCTTGCAGCCCTGTCCCATGCACATGCTGGATGGGTATGAGGGGACAGTTAAGTCGTGGATGGTGACCTCCAGAAGCTCTCAAGAAAGGTGAGGATGCAAGATGGACAGGAATGTCTACAAAGATACACCAGCCCCACCAGATGTCAGTTTTGATTCTGAATCTTGACAGCACATTGTCAAACATGTATCATGAGGCAGAATTTATTTCCCTGTAACAAAAGTCTAGCCGATCTCAGTTCAACACGACACAGCAATGTGCTGAGGATAAATCACTACACAAATATCATCTTGGCTTCCCTCACTGAGCTGAAAGGGAAACCATCACAGTGTGAAATGGAAAGTGTTCCTGTCAATGACAGCTTAGGACAAATGTGCCCTTCCTCTCAGCTAGGGTAGCAGGGAAATCATAAAGAACAGGAGGTATAAAGAAAATGTGCATGCCCACTGGCTGGGATTCTGGCTAGGGCTCTGCTTCCAAGAAGACAGAGCCAAAGGAGTAGCTCCAGGGCCACCAGGGCCACTGGGCCACCCAAGTCCCCTGAACACAAAGGTTCTGTTCCCAGTCCCAGGAAAGAGAACTTTGCTATGGTGGAGATAGACTTAGACTTATTTCCCTCTAATGCAATTTACAAGGGGGCTTTGGGTTCAAAAGCAAAAATGCTGTGAACATGTGTGAAATAAACTCCAACCCTTCATGGCAACGTGTCCACAAACCTCTTAGGTTTCCCAATCTGCCAGTGGGCTGAACTGTGTTCTCTGACAGAGGAGAACAGTGAGGCTCCACGAATGTACCCTCTAATCCACAGCTCTTCCTAGGAATGAGGATGCAGGTCTGTCATCCCAGCACTTGGGAGGCTGAGGCAGGAGAAGCCCCATGAGTTCAAGGCAAGCCTGAGCTACATAGTGAGTTCAAAGCCAGCCTGGGCTACATAGTGAGAGTGTCTCAAAAAACAAAACAAAACAAAAACATGCCACCTTAGCACAAGACCCTCACTGAAAGTCTCCAGGTGGGCACCAAGTATGTGACATCCCTTGGCTGCTTGGTCTTGGATTTGTCACCTAGGCTGGCCAGATGTCCTGCATGTGAGCTCCCTTCCTACACCCAGTACAGCCAAGGAACATCCACCCCGTGATGCTAAGCAGGTACTTAGGACAGCAAGTAAGATCCGAAGGGAGTCAGGACAGGCTGGGCTGCACTGTAGTGACTACCCCACAATTTCAGCAACCTGATGGTCAAGAACCTTGCTTTCTCTGAGTTCACTACACACTAATGAGCCATGGCATCCCCACCTGACCCAGCTCTCAGAAAAAGTGTGGGACCACTGTGCCCTGGCTGTGAAGCCAGCTGGGCCACATGGCCACCCCAAATGTCTGTCACCGAGGCAGACTGGCAGAGACACTGGGTAGAATGAGCCAAGAATGTCTGCAGATCCTTCTTCCAGGCTGAAGCCCTAAGGCCCTTTGCCTGCCTTCACTGCTTTTACCCGAGATTCCTCTTAAGTGCTCAATCCCTTTTCCAATGCCTTCTGAGGCACCTGCACTTTTCTGAAAACATCCAGCATAAACATTAGCACATCCAGGCAGAATACACCTTGCTTATCAGCCGTTTAAAAGCTCTCTTGCCAGAGAATAGTAAAACCCAAGGGCACATATTTTCTGTAACTATTATTACTGTTGTTCGTTTTTTCTGAGATAGACTCTTACTATGGGCAACAAAATCTGCTACCCAGGTTGGTCTTGAACTCGTGGGCTCAAGTGATCCTCCATCATCAGCCTCCTAAGCAGCCAGGACTACAGGTACACACCACCACTTCTGGCTTATTTAACTACTATAGATGGCTGTTTCACTAAAACATATTACATGCACTCCTATTTTTAAATGAAATAAAGCACAGTCTTATGAGCTTGATGGTGCCTCCCTTCCCAGCAAAGGACACTGAGGGAGTCATGACTTGGCACCTCTCAAATTCCCAGCTCTGCTCTGCATTTGAGTATCCACAGGCCCCACTCCTGCAGATTCGAATACACTTGGTCATCAGCGGCAGAGTCACCATGTCTCCAGTAGGCCCCAAAATACCCCTAGGGTGAGGACCACTGTCTTAACAAGGGTGGTAACTATGGGTAGCAAGTGACTATGCTGATGTCACAGCAAAAATCCCAACCCCTCCCTCCAGGCTCCACCTGGCTCTTTCCATGGAGCCTCTGGTTCCCACTGTGAGCTTGATGCCTAGGCTACCTGGTCTAGTGGGATATAATATCACTCGCCAAGGCTGCCAACCTCACAGGTTTGTCCCCTAGAGCTCCTGGAAGATGAAAGAGGGACCCGCAGTGACAGTCAGACAGGATTCCCGAAGTCTGGCAATGAATGGTCCCTGTGTGCCTACCATGGAGGTGAGTGCCACCACCCAGGGCTCATTTCAGGGCTTCCCATGCTGCTGCACCCTGCCCTCCAGCCTGTGCTCGCACTGCCCTAGAGGATGGGGATCGGTGGCCCTCAGCATTGCCCGGGACCTGCCTGCAGCTCTCTGGGATGTAGCAGACGCCTGCAGCCATGGGTCACACAGATAGCGCAGGAGGACACCGGAAAACTTGAAACAGACACATCTAGTCGCCCCTGCTAGGGTCACGTCAGCAGATGGACCCACAAAGCTCCCTTGCTGAAAGGGTTAAAGACATCACATTGCAATGATCCATGTACACCCATGCTTATAGTAGCACAACTCATAACAGCTAAATCTTATAAGCAGCCTAAGTCTGTGGACAGATGAATGGATTAAAAATGTGGAATTTAACAAAACAGGGTACTACTATGCCATAAAGGAGGATAAATCTGAGGCATTCTAGAAAAATGGATGTACCCTAAGACCATAATGTTAAGTGAAATAAATCAGATACACAAGCTTCAATATCACATGCTTTCTCTTACATGAGAAACCCAAAGAATAAATTAAAAAGCAAAATAAAGGAAAATAGGAAGTAGGAAAATAGATCATTTGCAAATGGAAAGGGGACTAAGAGATGGGCGGGGGTGGGAGAGCAGAAGAGGATGAGTGAAGAATTGAGATGTGTTCTGTGCGCGCACCAACTTCCCTGGATGAATGCAATCACCGTGCACTGCAAACATGGACTCATAAAAATAAAACTATTTTTAAAAAAGCACCATGCAGAGACGCTGTGCTCATCCCCAACCCAAGGATCTCCCTCCCAGGCTGAAGCTCTCAGGCAATCCAAAGCGGCCAATGAGCTGTCCCCATGTCTCTCGCCCCCTCCACCTGGCTGTGGAAGAGTGTGGCTGCTGAAGGGCCCCAACCCCTACTTGCCCACACCAAGCACCTCCCATCAGAGCAGAGGGTGTTGATGTTGTAGAAGAGATATCATGACCTAGGTAAGCAAGGGACAAGAATGTGAGGGAGAAGCACTTCACCAAGCTCCAGTCTGCTGCTCTTTATACCTCTGCATGACAATGCCACGTTCAGCAAAGCCCAGCTGAAAAACTTTTAAGACAACCTGACAACACATATTTAAATGCCCCTCTTCCCAAAGCACTGAGGGTGACCTTCAAACGCATGCCACCAAGGTGAGACACTGTTTAGTGCACAGGCATGCTGAGTGACAATGGCATGTCTCTCATGAGGACATGAAGCAGAATGAATTTCCAAGCTGAGAATTGTACTACACTCTGGTACAAGGCCTTCAGGACACTCTGGCACCTCTGTAAGCCAAGCACCTCCTTTGGTTCTGGGATCGCTATCACTTAGGGACTCCACCAGCTAGAGCCCCTTGAACCAGGAAGCACATCTACCATCTGGGTCTTTAAAGGTCACACATACCATCCAGGTCTTTAAAGGTCAGTGTGATGAACTTGCTCGCCACCATTAACATAAAAATCACCCAGAAGCATGCAGCCAACAGGAGCCACTGGTGGTGCATGTTGTCACACGTCAGCCATTCAACAACGCTTCCTGGAAAACACAAGCGAGATGCATCTGCTACTCACAAGCAAATCACTTCAGCAAAAGGTAACAGGAAGAACAGATGAATTTAATGAGCAGAATCAACACAAATGCTTGCACTGTCTTCCCTTTGCTCCAATGGGTATTTTGGCTTGGCGTTTAATTTAACATTTCATATTTCATTAATGATATTGCAGGATTCATTTAGCAATTAGATCAAATTTGAAACACCTCAGTGGAGAGATCAAGAGAGAAGGCCATGCCTGTTTGTTTCTAGAATCCAGGATAAGATTTTTTTCTCATACATTTGCCTGTCGGCTCTTGTCTGGCCCAGACCAAGGCCACCACATAGCCCCAGAGCCAAATGGGCCTCTGGGCATCTGCCAAGGACTGGACCTTCACTGGAAGTAACTTGAAGAGGGCAGAAACCCCACTGAGGCCATGCTAGGTAGGCTGTTTAAGACCCTCACTGGCTGCCAGGGTGGGGACATACCTAGAGACTTTTTTAAAAGCAGCCAAGTACGGTGACACACACCTACAATCCTGGCATTCCAGGATGAGACAGGAGGACTACAAGTTTGAGCCTAGTCTCAGCAACACAGAGAGTTGGTGAGACTCTATCTCAAAATAAAAAGTTAAAAAGCAGAGCTAAGTATGTAACTCAACGCAAAGGACTTGGATTCAATTTCCAGTACCAAAAATAAAAAACAGGGAAAGAAACACATGCGCTTCTCACCTAGGTTCATTTGCCTGCATGGGCCTGGGCAAAGCCATGGGATTGGGTGCTGTTCATGTTCTTCCTGTCTTGGAGTGTCACAAGGTGCACTGGCTGGTCTTCAGTCTATCACAAAAGTCACTCTCTACAGCAGCTTCAGGGGACACAGAAAAAGAAAGTCACCATCAATTCCCAGAACAAGAGGCAAAAAAGTGTGCTTCCCCTGACACAATGCTTCTTCAAGCCAGACCACACAGCTAAAGACATCATAGGGTGGGCACCATCATCTGACAGAGGCTGGCCACCTTACCTGGCAGAACAACTGTTCTCCACGCAGTACTGATGGCAGATGACCTTAGAGACAGTTGAACTGTCAGACTCAGCAAGGGCCCAGAGCAGTGACTCTCTTTCTTGTCTCTTCTAGAATCTCACTGGAATCCAGCACTGAAACCTGAATTCTTCCCCACCCCCTTACACCTACAAAGTGGTTCTTTAGCTTTATCTGAATGTAATTTGTGATGGGGAGCTCACCACCTGCCAAGATGTCTCGCTTGGTATCTTGAGGGCCACCCTCCAGTGCCCACATATTAGGCCTGGTGCTTTCTGGGGCCCCCAGAGGGAATTACCAGATTAAACAAGGAAAAATGTGGGATATCCAGTTATGTTTAAATTTCAGATAAACAACAATTTTTAGTATATGTCTCAAATATTGCACTTTTTTAGTAACATAAAAAAAGCTGTTATTTTCTGAAAATTGAAATTTAACTAAGTGTCCTGTCGTTTATCTGGTTTATGTGCAACATCACCCAGCAAGGGGCTCGTAACTGCCCCTCTACCTTCCAAAGCCAGCTGTCCTGGCTCTGTCCCCACTGTGTCCTCAAGCCTCCTAGGGGCAGCAAAGCACAAAGTGGGGAAAGATAGTGTCAGTTCAAATCCCTACTCCACTGCTCACTGGCTCTGTGCCTTGTTTGGTCCCTGTGTCCCATCTGTGATGCAAAACCTTCATCCTCCAGGGTGACCAGGAGTGTAAAATGGGGCCCTGAGGCTGAAAGGACCAGGAGGACCACGGGGTGTAGCAGACCTTCAGACCTGAACGATCTGGGTCAGTCCTCCAGCACCTTTGTGACTTCCTGTTTAATCTATAGCCTTCTAAGTGTGGTCATCAGACATGACCGCAGCCCCAAGAAAGAGAAGAAAAAAAAAAGAGAGAGGGAGCAGGAGAAGGGGATGAAGAGGAATTGAGATGTGCTACATACATGTACCAACTTCCCACAATGAGCATGATCATTACATACTGCTAACATGTGCTAAGAAAGGACAAAACTTCCAAGATTCCAGAAATGGCCCATTTTGCTTTTGTTATGTCTCAAAAAACTCTGTAGATGGACAACAGTGCTTCTCTATCTTTTATAACATGGACTTATTAATACGTTCACAATGGGGTCATAATTCGTATGACTCACTGCTGGGCAGTTTGAACCACGAGTGGTACATGCACAACTGTCCCATCAGGGAGCTTTTTATTAATTTTCTTAGCAAAAAGACCGATAAAAGTGATTAGATCCATTTGTCCCACCAAAAGTAGAAGCAGCCGAAAGGGACAGTTGTGCATGTACCACCAGTGGTTCAAGCCCAGTGGGAATGTGTTAAAGAAACCAAGTTGAGTGACTGATATAAAAAGTAAAAAGTACATTTTAAAAATCCAAACTATATATGTGCACCCTAGCATATTTCTTTCTGCTGTTTAATCGCTTCAACCTCAGGGCCACCAGCTATACTTCATTCCACTTTATATAGTGTGGGAAAAAATGGTAAAAGCTTTCTAGACAGGAAACAATGTCATGAACTGAGATTTAACAAAAACACCTCTTGCTTCACTATTTCATGGTTTCTAAAATGGATGATAGATACATTTAAAGCATAAAGTGTAAAGAATAATAAACACCTGGCTCCATACACTCTGCTGTAATGGTTTGACTGCACTTTCTTGAACTTTTTAAAGGAAACGTAAGGGTCATAAGTCATAAGCGAGGGCTCCCTCACACTACCCACCGTATGGGGTAGGGGCTGTCACTGCATCAGACACACACCTCTGGCAGAAGCAGGTGGCAGTTTTTCCTGTGCAGATAAAGGCAGGGAAGAGCAGGGCAGTGGAAGGCAAGTTCACCCACAAGCAAACGCTACATGTGGCTACTTGCAGAGATGTCCACACCAGGCGTAAGGGTTAGGTAATATTTAAGCACTTGGGCTCCCCCATCCCCACCCTCCATGATCTAAGTGAGTAAGTGAAAAAACTGTCAAGGTAACCTGGTCAAAAATTTATAAAATCAGGGCTTGCTCTCTAAGTCACATGCAATGGGTGCCCCAGGGCCTGTCTCTGCAGCTTACAACATATGCCTCTCAGACACAAGCAGGTATACATATGCATGCAAGTTTAGGGCAGGATGACCTCAAAGTTCACCATGAAAAGATGCATCCATTCATGTGTCCAAGAGAATAGCTGTCAAGGCACAGCAGCAAGTCCACACCAGTCACACACACACACACACACACACACACACACACACACACACACACACAGATCCTGAGACCCACGGAATCCAAGAGTTTACCTGAGATGTGGTCCACGGCAGTAGGACAGAGACACAGCACTAGGAGAAGAAAGCACAACAAGGTGTGACCTGGCAAGAGGTAGGGGACAGCAGATGCCCACAGTGAAAGGGCAAGGGTCCAGGTCTGTGATACAGGCCCCTGAGGGTCCATGGGGCTGCAGTTTCAGTGCAGGTCAGATAGCACCAGGCCTTGGAGAGCTACAGTGGACTGCAGTCTTCTTGCCCACAAGGGAAACCATCACACAGGGTTTTACAGGAAGTGGGGTGGTGGTGTGGTGGTCTGTTTTTAAATTTGGATATGAACTTCTCTGGCTACAGTAAAAAATACAAAGAACAAGCCTGGCATGCAGGTGCACATCTGTAATCTCAACACTCAGGAGGCTAAAGCAGGACTGCTGTGAGTTCAAGACCAACCTGGCTCACCGTCACCCATGGAGAAGGAGGGCACATTCTAATCAGGCTCAGGCACAGCTGGCAAGGCGGCCACGTCCTGCATCATCATCTGTGTCTCTGGGCACAAGTGAATGAGCTAGGAAGACCAAGGGATTCTGGAATGTGGGGTGTGGATCGCTCAGGAAGGGCAGTGTGTCCTGCTCTCCCAGGGTGATATGCTCTGGCTTTGCTCTCATTCTGAACCTCTACATCTACTTGCCAGTGCTTGACCTGAGGTCCTGCACCCTGGCCTTATGTGAGTCACCTGGGGAGCTTTGGACACATGAGGATGCCCTGGGCCCCAGGGATACCACAGCCAAGACTGCCCACATCCCCAGGGGTGGCCCCCAGACAAGCTGAAAATCTCCACACAAAGCTCAGAGCTCTGCCTGGGACTCTCAGCCTTCTCAGCTTCCACTGTCCCCAGAACCCACTGTGGCTCTGGTTAAAATGCAGGTGCCAGGCATGCCAGCATAATAGCCACTCACCCACCTCTGCCTCCCTCACTTTTCAGAACTGGCAGCAAAAGCACACCCAGCCCACGAGAGTCTACGGACTCACTGCACCACATGTGTTCTGAATAAACAGCTTAAAGAGGTTTAATTAGAACCTAAGCCCTACCAGCCCTGTCCCCATTTCACTCTCTCCCCCAGCCCTTCCATCCATAGGTAACTAACCACCCTACAGAATTAGGATTTGTCCAAGCTTGGGGAAAATAACTCTCCACAATAATATGCCCCATTTTCTAAACAAAAAGAGAAGCATTCCAAACCTACCAGCCCCAGGTCCTCCAAGCTGCCCCACTACTCTGCCTCGTGTCCTTAAATACCAAGTTCTCCATGAGGCTGGAAAGCTGACATGGACATACACAGTCCTTTCTCCCGGCTCTGCTAAAGGCTGCTGCTCTCCCCAAAGCCAGGTGACAAATGGCCCTTTAAAAGCCTGACATTTTCTGTAATTAATTCCCCTTTGTTCAAGCAGTCAAGACAACTCCCATGGCAGACAGGGGTGGCACACCTGAGCCTACTGCATCCCTTCTGGTCACAGTGTTCCAGTCCTCCTGTCCTCATAGGAGGGGGCACATCCATCATTAAATGGGACCTCAAGATGTCACAGTCTGACAGTTCGCTCTTTGAAATCTCTTGAGATAGAGCTAGGGAAAGTAGTGTCAGGGAAGCAAGAACATACTGAACCTATTAGAAGCCCTATCCTCTGTTCTCTCCCTCAAACAAAAGAAAATGGGAAACATTGGCATGTTTATAATTTTAACAATGTCTACTCAGTACTACTGCCATCTTTTGATGCAAACCCTCCCTCCCCTGCATTTTGAAAAAGATGTTGTAACTTTATTTTGCTCAGCTGTCTAACGATCCTGCCAGCAGCTCTTTCCCTTGTTTGAGTTGTCATCCAGAAGCACAAAGCATTTCCTACTACGGAGGTGCAGAAGAGCTGGATGCCACCTACCACCTTGCCTTAATTTTCATATGCATGGTAGCTTAGCAAAGGTTCTGCAAAGTCCTGTGGAAAACAAACTAGTTCAACTGTTTAAATACCTCTCCCCAGGCTGGTCATTCATTTGGCTGTAGCCTACTCAGAGCCCCGGGGCTCCTGCTCTCAGAGCTTCTGCTAACCAAGGGAGACAGGACAGAAAGAAGTGGAACAGAGGAAGGGCAAGAACCCAGAGACCTGGCCTGGGTCCTAAAGCAGCACAGAGGCCACTGTGCCTCCTGCAACCTGAAGAAAATATGGGAAGAGAGGGGCTGCAGGAGGAGTCCTGCAGAGGGTCCTTCACTCAGAGGGAAACCTGTTACCCCCTCATCACATGCACACCCTAGCCCTCTCATGTCCAGGCTTCAACTTTTAAAACACACCCAGCTAATATAGAAGACCCCACACAAAACAACTCAGTAATACAAAAAATAGCCATCCTGGAAGGACTCCAGGACAGAAAGGAACCAGACCCCCAGGCTCTTTAAATTCGGGTCACTAATATTTTTAACCCTTGATAGACAGGGTTTCTGTCAATTTAAGATCAGAAATCTCTTTTTTCTTTTCTACTGCTGCCTGTCCAATTTACTAGCTTGGGATGATGGGTCATCCTTGGTTAGCAGAAAGAGAACACATCCCTAGCCCTGTCCAGGGAGGAATCCACCTGCAGTTAGGACAGATTCTCGTGATTAATCACAACACCTACCCAGGCTCACTGAATGTGGTAGTGGAACATACTCACTCCAACCCGAGTGTATGCCTGCTGTTATAGTTAAGGAAACATTACTAAGCATCTATGCACATATTCCTACTCTAGAGACCTGAGGTCCTAAAATTTCTATACCAACAACAAAGGAGGCCAAAAGGGTACTGAACAGCACAAGCTCAAGTAACTGGGAAGCTCCCACTCTCTTCTGACATGGGGGTCCCATTTCCTTGCATATTTGCCCTGCCCTGATCTTATTTTCTCTTGTCATTGTACAGGATAATTAAACACAACAGTACGCATCACTCAGAGGTAGAAGGTCAGCTTTCTTGGGTTATATTTGGGAAAACTATTGACCACTCTGATCACACAAGTGTAACTTGTAAAACAAGTCTCTTAACCAAAGCAGGGGATATTTGGGTTTCTTGATAAACAAGTAAATATTCTAAATGAACTAAAAGAGTGGTATGTTTTAAAAGTCCTTCATGCAACTTAGTATGATATTTTTGTAGCAGAAATAATCAAGCCCTATTCTATCTGTTTTCCATGTTTGCTACTGGGTACAGGATTCCTACATGAGATTATCAGTTATCCCAATGCAGGACATTCTCTGGGTTTTGGAGTCACTGAAGATTTACACCTGATAGATTCTAAGCAGGTGGATGAATAAGTGGAAAGAAGACAAACTCATAGAATTAGATTACAGATTTGATAGGGCGAGCTAGCAAAATAAGCCCACAATTGCCTTTATTCCAAAAACGGATGCTCAAATTAAAAGCAATTTCATGTTACACAGCTGGATGACTGAGCATTACATATTCTCACCCACATTATTCCAGACCTGCAGGAGGAAAAAACAAGCTCTGCTGGCCCTGCAGTCTCCACAGTCTTACCTTTACCTGTCTCCTCTGTACTTCTAGCTCTCTCCCACCTTCTAACTGTACAACCTCCTGAAGCCTTTAAAAAAGGGCTGCATATAACTGCAAGCTGCCCAGGATATTTAAGAATTCTTTCTTTGTTCACTCTTACAATCCCTCTTATTTTTACATCAGGGAAAAAGAGTATGTATGCTCCCTCAGGTATTTCTTTAAGATTCTATTCTTCCGAGTCAAGAGCAAAGATGGAAAATTTGTCTTCCCATCATTAAATCCCAATTCTGAGCCAAGATGGACTATGTCCCAATTCTATGAGGGAAAAGTCATTTCTCCCATTGTGTCTCTTTAACCCAGTCACATAAAAAGATAAAGAGGTACATGGCTGGTGACCAGCAAGCCAGAGCTAAATTGAGTTGCCAAATTTTAACACCGAGACATTTCTCCCTCTGGCAGTTAAATCTGACCAATGTAATAACCCAATTCCGCATGGCCCCAAACTCCAGACTTTGGGTGTTGCACACAAATAATCCTTTATGACAATACCACTGCTCAGCTACCCAGAACCTGGCTGGTCTGTTTCCAGTCACTGCCCTGCCCTTTCCTGCCTTGAGCAGACTTGGGGAACAAAAATCGACAGCATTCGGGCGTGCAGTAATTGATGCCTAGACCTGCAACTTCTGCCAGGCGTCGCCACTGTGAGAGTAAGGGGCTGAGCGGGTCGCGGAGCGCGTCTGTCAGGGACATGCGTCTCCAACCCCTAGCGCCCACCGCACCTGAGCTCTCCGGTATATGCACCGTCTGCTTCTTCCCTGCCCTCTCCCTCTACACTCTCTGGACCCAAATGGGGGCCTCTTTCGCCTCTTTATGCCCCAGTGACAACCACAGATTCTCAGATTAGCAGGAGAGAAGTCAGTGATGGCTGGTCCAGGGGTCAGTAATTCTGCCCAGCATCCCGCACAAGGGCGCCTTCTTATTGCATAATTACCGGACGAAGTCTTCTTGTGCATCCCTCCATCCAGGAGGTCCTTCTGTCGCCTAAAAGGATACCCCTACCCCGATCCGGCCACCTGGGGTCGCAGCCCACCCCAGCCCCCTGCAGGTCCTCAGCTC